TCCTCCTCCTCCCCCTCCTCCTCCTCCTGCTTCTGCTTCTGCTTCTTTTGCTTCTTGTCTTCCTGAGACAGGGTCTCAGTATGCAGTTCAGGCTGGTCTTGAGCTCACTTTGTAACCCAGACTGGCCTCCAACTTGCAACAATCCTCCTGTCTCAGCCTCCTGAGTGCTGGGATTACAGGTGTGGGCCACCATGCCAACAGGCTTTCTGTTTCTTTTCCTTATTAGTGCGCACTTGCCACACACTGTGATCGCACTCCTTGTGGGAGTTGGGGTGTGTACAGAACACACCCTAATTCTTTTCCATCCACTCTCTCTCCCTCCATCTCTTGACCCCTTTCCCATCAGAAGAGGATCCATCTCCTGTTTCCTAGCCTTGTATTTTGCTTTATTTTTTTCGGTTTCTCATATAACAGAAGCCATGTGATATTTAAGCTCACATGTCTGACTTATTTCACTTCACATTATGATCTCAAGATGTAGGGGCCGGGGAGATGGCTCAGTGGAATATGCGCTTCCCTGGCAAGCGCAAGGGCCTGAGTTCAATCCCCGGTTCTGAAAAAAAAAAAAAAAAAAAAAATCTCAAGATGTATCCATTCCTAGAGATGACAAAATTATCCTTCTTTGTGGCAGAGTAATACTTTACTGTGTGCAAATGCCATGTTTTCCTACGCATTCACCTGTCCGAGGCATATGGGCCGCTTCCAAAAGCTAGTTATGTTGACTCGTGCTGCTGTAAGTGGGTGTGCCTGCTCACTGTACTGTGGCGCCTCTAACTCTTCCAGCAAGACGCTTAGGCGGGAGTGGTCAGACCAAGCGGCATTTCTCCTTTCAGCTTCCTGCCAGGGCTGAGGGCTCAAGCAGCAGCAGTTTGCAGTGTGTGGGTGTGGTCAGAACGCACGCCCCAGCAGCTCTGTGCTGGCAGGGGCTAGCCACGCCTGCCTTCCAGGCCCGCTGGGGACGTGGGCATTCCTGGCAGGTTCCTCGTAAGGGACACAAGAAGAAAACTGAGGCGTCGGCTGTGGTGGGTATGGGCCTGTCCCTGGACTGGTGGCAGGATGAAGTTCCCAGAGGTACAGGGCTCCCGGAAGGGGGCTCCCTCTGCTCCACCTCATGATCCTTTTCCTCACAGACAGCCTTGCTCAGGCTCTCCCTCCTCCCCGGACAGCCAGCGGCCACTGAGGAGCGGCACCATGTTACCTTTTGCTTCTTCTCCAGTTTAATGGCCTTCTGAGCCGCCCTCTGTTCCTGCACCCACAGCTGCTGGTACCGGTGCTGCAGCAGGTCAAAAAATGGGGTTGAAGGCCTGGAGGGGACGGGCGGGGAGGGCCCAGACACAGCTTGAGGCAGGAACAGGACAGGCTCTCCCCCAGCCAGGCATTGCCCCCAACCCTCCCCTCTCCCCACCTGCCCACCCGGCACGGGCATCACTGTCACCAGCAAGGGGACTCCATTCCTGAGCACACCGCCTTGGCCACCAGGCCTCACCCTGGGTCTCTCCTTGGCATCTCCCTTCAAGCTATGTTGGCATGGCTCCTGCTGCGTGGCTCCCTGGCCTTCACACTCGCTTTCCCCGGAGAGCTGATCAAGTTCCTTCCCTGCCCTGTCCCCGAAGGCCTTGGCTGCCCGTTGGCAAGAGTCCTGACCACCCTGTGAGCTAGCCTCTCCACGCTTGGCTCGTCCAAGCTCCGCCCCACTTGCACCATTCAGAATGGAGGCCCAGTCTGCAGTGCACTCCTCTGCTTTTGCAATAGTAGCATCTTCCTTTACCTCCCTGACCTGCTGTCCACCGCTAGTTTTCTTTGCAGTCCTCCCCCCAGCAGTGCTGTGAGGTGCACACAGTTTTCATCTTGGTCTCAGAGATGAGTCTGGGGGACGGGGTCCCAGAGCAGGGACAGGGGCCTGGGGCAGGGCTGGCAGCACCCGGAGCCAGAGCTGCCCAGCGACAGAACTCAGTAGCAGAAAACTAAGTGCTTCTGGCAGGGCCTGACCTCCACACAGACTGGGAGACTGAACACACAGGTGACAGTGGCTGGCCACGTGCACAGCTAGAACTCTGCAGTGACCCAGGCGTTCCTCTTGCAGACCAGCACAGTCCACAGATGACACCTGAGAGTGACCACACGCTTTTGTGCTGAGAGAACTGGGGCTATCACAGCCATAAGAGGCCGGAGGCTTCCCATTTAGCGCTGGATGCCTTGACCTTAGCCTCTGGGCTCCAGAACCTGGAGGGCATCTCTTGCTGTTGCTTTAGCACCCTGGCTTGTGCTGATCTGCTGTGGAAGGTCCCTGGACTGGACTTCAGGACCCTCAGACAGTGCCACACAAAGTGCTTGGGGCGTGTGGTATCCGTGGCTCCTCCCACAGCATCTGCCCAGATCCAAGGTACACCTTAGGGACTCCACTCCCCTCCATACGCAGCCGCCACAGTCACTTTGACTGTTGTCTCAAGACTGTCTGGGGGTCGCCAGCTTTCCCCACGCTTCCCCAGTGCCAGGTGCTCAGGCGAGGCCCAGGACCCCACATGTGGCCTTCGGCCCTTCTGCCCAGACAAAGCAGCAAGGAGGTAGAGGCCCTGGGAGAGAAACCCTGCGCCTTCTTTGTCCTGCTCAGCAGTCTTTGAAATCCCGCTTAAACAGCTGAGACAGTCTACACAGAAAAAGCAACAGTGCTCCTGCTTGTCCTGGAGATGCGCGGATTCTGATGACACTGGCTTGCACCCTCTTGGGCTCCGACTGCCCCAGTCCCTGCCCTTCCCTGCTGGCTCGGAGCAGGCCCTCTCCTCCCCCTGCAGGCCCGCTGGGGTGCGAGCGCGCAGGCCCAGAGCGGGCGGAGAGCTGGCCTTTGCTGTTTCCCGACCCCAGGGCCTCCCGGCAGTCTCATCACACAGCAGAGCGCGGCATCTCCACTACGCTGGCTCTTTGTCTGCAGCCTACTTCACCCCTGTGGTGACTTTTATTACTTAATTATTACACACCCCACGCGCCCGAGCGGCCTAATTTATAGCTGTGCTTCCTAATGACACGACGAGCGTAATCTGGAAATATCCACCCCAGAGGATGCTCGCGGCTCCGAGCTCTCCTCCCGGCTGCCCCGCCATATCCATCTCCAGCTGCCACTGCCTCGCTGACCAACTCTGCCCTGCCCTGGCCAGTGTCTCCGACTCCCCGGGAAGAGGCTGGCGGGGACCGCGGTGTGAGCCCCTGACAGCCGGTGAGTTACTGCGGCCGCAGTCCAGGTCGTCGGAGGCAATGGCCACTCATTCTGCCTGGCTCATTAGCTCAGATAAACAGGTGGCCGGGCTGGCGCGAGGTGGACAGCCCGAGACATAAATCGGTCTGTCTGGCCTGGCTGAGAGGCCCCCTGTGCCTCCTGGACGCATCACAGTGGCCCGTGGGCTGGTCCAGCTGCCCCCGTCCTCCTCCTGCCCCTGCCCAGGCACCTCTCTCTTTGCTGACACATGAGTGGCTTCTCCTTTGCCTCCAGGTCTGTTGTGCAGTCACCCCACACAGGGCAGGGTATCGTCCCCGGCCAGCTTGCCCCAAAACAGCCTCTGCCCAGAAGATGTGCCCACTCAGTCCTGTACCAACCATGGGACTTCTATGGTGGCCATGCGGCTCCTGATAGGCACTTGTGAGAGAGAGAAAGAGAGAGGCGGGAGAAAGCAGGCAAGAGGTGGAGGGAGGAGAGCTGGAAAGGAGAAAGAGACCAGGAGAGAGGATTTGGCAAAAATTAGAGCAACTGTCCACATTCAGGGTATTACAGATTATGCTACCTGTTTTAGAATCAGTTAAAGAAAGTAAGTTGAGGGGCTGGTGAGATGGCTCAGTGATCTAAAGCACCTACTTAAAACAAGCTTAGCAAAGCACAGGGACCGCGGTTCGATCCCCCAGCACCACATGCCAGCCAGCCCCGCCCCCTGGTGGGCTGAGCTGGCCACACACACACACACACACACACACACACACACACACACAAATAAAATTAAAAAAAAAAAAAAAGAAAGAAAGTTGATGGAATCCAAAACTCCATACAGGAAATCTTTTAACAAGTACTGCCAGAGCAGTGGGCGCTTTGGACAACGCTACAAACCCACAAATCCCTCCATCCAGGCCTCCCCGTCCCACAGGAGTTGGCTCGCCGGGTCGTAGAAAGCTGAAGCCCAAAACCTTGGTGGACAAATGCAGAGCAAGGTCTTGGGGCCTGGCACAGGTGGAGAGTTTCTGAGACGTGATAACAGTATGAGCCATATGTGAAAAGCTGATAAGTTAGACTTCTTCAAAAATTAAAGACTTTGGCTCTGGGAGTGATCCTGTTAGGAAGACAAAAAGACAAGCTATAGACTGGAGAAACGGTTGCAAATATCGCAAAGCCTGAATGGTGAATCTGATTATTATGTATGGCAAATACATGCTAATAAAAATGGATTTTAAAAAACCATATGGGGGCTGGTGAGATGGCTCAGTGGTCTAAAGCACCTACTTAGAACAAGCTTAGCAAAGCACAAGGACCGCGGTTCGATCCCCAGCACCACATGCCAGCCAGCCCCGCCCCCTGGTGGGCTGAGCTGGCCACACACACACACACATAAATAAATAAATAAATTTTTTTAAAAAGTTACATTCTGCTGGGACTCTGTGTATATTTCATTTTTACAGTTTCCCAGGGTGTGAGGAACAGGGGAGGTGAGAGGGATCTTTTGCATTTTGAATGAGTCACACAAACCTACAGGTAATAAAATTGTACAGAACTAAACACATAGCACATATGCACATATGTGTGTAAAACTGGTGAAATCTGTGTATTATGCTCATGTCAGATTTTGCTTTTCATGTTGTCCTATAGTTAGGGAAAACTTTATCACTGGGGAAACTGGATTAAAGACAGCATAGGACTCTGCTCCGCTTTTACAACCTGCTCCAGATTCACAATTATTTCAAAGTAAGTTTTACTTTTTTTTAATGGAAGAAAATATTTTAACAAAGCATGCTACAGGAAAGGCTAAAATCCCCCACAGTGAGTGGCCATGGGCAGAGGCAGGATGACAGGGCCGCCAAGCGGAGACTGAGCTCAGTCCCGAGTCCCAGAGGAGCTGCCGCGCTACGCGTCGCCACCAGCTGGCCTCTGGGGGGAGAAAGGCCTCGGAGCCAGAGCTCTCTGCAGGCTTTCATTTAGAATCTCCACGGAAGAGAGCAAAGCAGGGAAAAGCAGTTTGCACCCAGAGCTCTCTGAGTCTAAGCAGGTTTTCCCGGAAAGGAAGGGACAACGCCCAGCCCGCACGTCCCACTCACCTAAACCTCTCGTTTAGCGGTCCGATTCTCACACTGCCTGCGTGCTTCTGACCTGCAGTTTGATCATTTTTTCCCCCACAGAGCACACACGCCTTCGCCCTACAGTTTCACCAAGACGCACAAAACAGCTTGCTCTTTCATAGAGAAAATGTTACACATTTATTATACAAAAAATATGGAGCTGCAGATTCTATAGGAAAGAATCGACTACGTGGCAGATGAAGTGTTTATTTACTTACATATTTATTGACAGGGTCTTGCTGTGTAGCCCAGCTGGCCTTGAACCCATGGCAATCCTCCTGCCTCAACCTCCTGAATGCTGGAGTCACTGGTGTGCACCATCCATCACACCCCTGTGCAGTACATATGTATACATATATTTGGTTGTTACGTGGTCTCACTACGCAGCTCAGATTCATAGTGATCCTCCTGTTTTCAGCCTCCTCAGCACTGGGATTACAGGTGGGCACCACCATGCCCAGACTCTGGGGATCAAATCACGATTTCTGCATTTGCCTAAACTTGCCTAAGCAGGCACTTTAGTCCACTGAGCTATCTCACCAGTCCTGCACTTTTTTTTTTTTTTTTTTTTTTTTGGACAGGGTTGACAGGGTCTTACTATGTAACCAGGCTGGCCTCGACCTCACAGTAGTCCTCCTGCCTCAGCCTCCCCACAGCTGGGATTACAGCCATGCACCACCATGCCTGGACTCTGGCTGGCTTAGTGTGCCCTGGGGACAGGGCTGACACAGCATGTGATGCTGGGGATGGAACCAGTCCCTGCGCTTGCCCAAGTTTGCCTAAGCAGGTGCTTTAGTCTGCTGCGCTATCTTGCCGGCCCTGCAATTTCTTAAAAGTATGTTACTCTTCTAGATTTTTGTGGTTTGGGACTTACTTAAATTTGTAATTCATTCCCATCTTTTCTTATTCTAATTATTCATTTTGAGGCTTTGATTTGCATTCATTGTTTTGCATTATTTTTTTCTTACAGATTATCCCTAAACGTGGACAAGCA